CACATTCCCAACACCATTTATTGAAGAGACTATCTTGATTCCATTGTATGTTCTTGCCTCCTTCGTCAAATATTAATTGAGCGTATTAGTTGGGGCTAATTTCTGGGTTCTCTATTCTATTCCACTGATCTATATGTCTGTTCTTGTGCCAGTACCAGGCAGTTTTGAGATCAGTGGCTTTGTAATACAGCTTGATATCTGGTATTGAGATCCCACACATCAAGGCTATTAATTACAAATTATAGTCATCGTTACCATTGTCATGTTTTCTTTTCAATGCATTTGTTGATTCATTAGCAGTATTTTGTGATAACACCATGTTAGGGGTAATAAGAATGTTTTTGACCCAATTAATGATGGATTAATTAGAACATTCTGAACTGCTGATGTTACAGGAATTGATGCTTTTACAGCTGAGGACTGTGAAATGGGTATTTGTACTGTAAACCTTTGCCCTGTGAGGGACATTGGAGTCCCTACTTTAGTTGAAACTGACATGGTTTGTGGGGTTGGTTTGCCAAGTGTGGGAGTACTTGGTCTGCTAGTAACTGAACCAACACTTAATCGTGGAACTGGTATTCTTCCTGCAGAAATAGATGCCGTTTTTAGAAAAATTTAAGTCTATAGATTGGAGCAGTCAAGTAATAGCTATCAGGTGGTAATCTAGGACCTGGGTATGGCTTGATTAATGGCATTGGGTTTGATTTTTTTGCCTTCCAATCTATAATAATAAAAGTGTAATATGCTAATTAGACCAGACAGCTGGACGACCAGGCGAAGCCTGGGCTGCGAGAGCCGAGGCCCTTGCATGAATTTTGTGCATCAGGCCTCTAGTATATAATAAAAAAATCTCCTGGGGAAGGAGAGGTAAAAGACTGGTCAGCACAACACTGGATTGCCAATCGCACATCATCTGCATCAACAGTAACTTTCTTAGCATGGCTTGAATAAATGTTTGCAACATCAGAATTGTGGTCACATATCAGAAGGCAAACTGCAACATCTGACTTATAACTCTTGGCTCATATTCTGTAATCCCCATATCCTTCAGGATTTGTGCCATCATCTGTGCATCTTTTGGCATGCTCTTGGGAAAAGCCATCTTGCCAGACTCCATGATATCCGGTGATCAGACTTCTCGAGCCAAATCACCCACGTTAATATGTTTCAGTCCCCCGATCTTGATGCAAGTTCTTTGCCTAGTTTAGTTTTTCCAACCCCTGGTGTACCCATGAGCAGGATGTTCAGAAGCAACAAGATGGCTCTGGAAACCCAGCATGAGGGCCCTAAGCACAACCTATTGTTTGAAATTTTGATACATATTTAGTTGTGACTCTGAAGAAGTTAAGGTCATTATTTTCTTCTAAATCCTACACGTCATAAATATATTTTGGCTGTAAAATTTTCAAATACAAAGTTGTTATTAAGGGGGGGGGGAATAAAAGTTACTGCTTTCTCCCCACCACACCCAAGAAAGTCTCTTCTCCCTCCTCCCTCATGCCTATCCTCAGGTCACTGCAGTTAAGGTTTGCATATCCTTCCAGGACCCTTTGCATTCATTTACATACAGACACCTTCTCTTTAAACCAAAGAAAAGGAGGAGGGTATGGAATGATACTCTATGGCTTGTTTTTTAATCTTTCTGTTTGTTGACAAGCTTTCATGGTGGTTTTATGACTTTACCTAGTTCATCTGTAGATGCACTGTCCTTGATTTAGTCAAGTCTCTTGGTAGCTATTTAAGATGTTTTCAGTTTTTCACTATTACAAACGCTGCTGCAGCAAGCACCCTCTCCTCTTACCCCCCCCCCACACACACACACATCTTTTTCACATGTAAGTACTTAGTTTGATGAATTCCTAGAAATGGAATAGTAATATAATTTCAGAATATGCTTTTTTAAAATGTACCCTCAACTAGATCCAGTTCTATTCCATCCTTTATCGCTGTCTTTAGAGCATTTTATGATTTATTCAAAATTTGTAGAAGGACAGTGTAAGTCTTGCTGTGTAATTATTTTTAAAGGCTCTGTCTCACATATAGGCTTATAATTCATGACAGCTTGGCTGACATAGTTTTATCCAGTCCAGCGAACCATGGACTCAAGACACAAATTCCCATGTTTGCTTAAAGTTCTCTGAGCTGTTTTTAAATTTCAATGGTGAGTAGTAGATGGGTGAAATTTTTGACTTTCACAGGAAGCGCTTATTGTTACACTTGTTATAGAAAAATTTGAAAATACTATAAACATAAATGACTTTTAAATAACAATGAAAATCACTCCATATGAACCAAATGGAAGAAAATAAGATGATTATGTTTTTGTGCCTTTAGGTCACTCCAAGAACCGAAACTCCTGTCACCAGTGTCAGTAATAGTTTGGAGAATGCACTACGTACATCAGCACATTCCACTGAGGAGTCGCTGCCCAAGAGGACTGTGGGAAAACACTCCAAAGGTGAGTCTGTCCATCTGCAGGGCTGAAGGGAAGGAGTTGTACTAGAGCGGAGAGGGGAGATCTTGCGCTGATATTTGTAAATGCTTTTAGATCTCTCATATACGCTAATAGTAGTAAGTTGTATTCTTTTTCTACATTCTATAAGTAATACGTGAATGTATCTTGGCTGTAAAATCTCAAATGTTGATGTTTGTTAAGGAGAGAAAAGTTAAAGTTGTTATATCCTCCTACCACCAAAATAAGTAAATTCTAGAGCAGCAGTATCCTGAAGAACTTACAATAATGGAATGGCTTGCATCTGCACTAATTTGTTTGCCACCAGTTACTTGTGCCTTTGAGCGCGTTTGAAGCATGACTTAATGCAACCAAGGACCTGAAATTTCATTTATTTTTCATTGCAATTGCAATTACAGTAGCTCAGTGTGGACCATGGCTACCATATTGGGCAGTACAGCTTTGGACTGGATGGAGGGCACATTTTAGATGAAGCTGTGAGTTCCTTGGTTCTGGTTGCCTGACTTTTGCAGCCAGCTTGGACAGTCAGAGTCAGTTGCTATACAGTTGGTAAGCTGTGTGGAGGTATGGGGGATTCCAGGCGGGTGAAGGTGATGTGTAGGACTAGATGGCTCGACAGTGAACCCCAAGTCTGCATAGTCGTCAGATGGGCCAGGATGACCCTGACTTGGATGGTTGTCATGAGGCCCCAAGCCATTCGCTCCCTCACTCAGCTGGCCTTTGTTCCTTCCCCCTTTTGTTTGTGTCTCTTCTAGAACTGAGCTGCACTAAGGTGGGAGCCATACCTGCTTGTCTTGTGTTTTCCATTCTCTGTCTCCCTCCTGTCTCAGGCACAGTGCTTTGCGCCTCACAGATGCTTAGTAAGCACTTTGTTTTTTAAATAAAGCTCCATTTTTATAAAATCATAGCAAGCCACCTGTCTGTGACTTGGGTCATATGCTGGATATATCTGTATTCTAACATCTACACCCATGTTTATTTATAAGTGACCATGACATGGTATTAAAACAGTAAATCCTTATAGCAGCCGTGGGGCATACATAGTCAGCTTGTTTTATGTATTCCACTCCAGGGACCATCATTCTCAGACACAGCAGGGCCTCATCTGCAAGGATGGTGTCACTCAGTCATAGGCACTTTCTCTCCTAAAACTGCTCTTGTCCTTTTTCCTTCTGAGTGTCATCCAGGGAACAGTGCCTGGTGGGGTGTTGCTCCCTTTGTCTCCAGACAGTCCAGCATAGTAGAACTTGTGCTCTGCACCCTTCTGATGTGAAGGGCTGGCCTTTTCTTCACCACAGTGGTTTTTCCTCAAGGCATAATTATCAGGAACCCCCTCACTCCTTTTTAAAAATGTAATTGCAGAATATGTGGCTGTTATCTCTGTCACTCTTTTTGTCTGTGTTTGTTGGTGCCCGGAGAGCCAGCTTTAGCATCACTTGTGCCAGACATCCCTTATCTACAGTAGTCTCCATTCAGTGGTCATAGTTGGTAATAGTTTCTTCCATCCAGCAAGCTAACTTGGTTTTTTGTCACACTTTTTTGTAATATTCTGTTCAGCCTAGGTTATTGCTCTTTTGGAAGTCTAAAGTCACTCTAAGTATTATTATAATAACCTTTTCTCATTGCCTTTTCTGTAATCCACGTGTGTTTTGGTTTTTCTCTGCTTATTTGGAAGTTTGTACAGATACAGTTTCACTTATAAAATAAAGAATTCAGACGTTTCCATTTCTTTTGTATAAGAGTCAGGGAATAGCAGTACGGACATTGTGAAACCCTGACTGCTCTGGTCAGATCGTGTTCCAAGCCTATTACATAGACTAACCCACATAATTTTCTGAAGAACTCTGTGGGGGTTCAGTTATACCTATTTAATTCTTACATCAATCCCATGAAGAGATTATTGCCCCATTTTACAGATGGAAGAACTGAGTCACAGATAAGTAACATTCCCAAGATAAGCTAATGCTCTTACCACTAATGTTAGACTGAAGAAACAGAAAATGAAAATCAAGATGGCAGTGCTTAAAAAGGACACATTAAAAAAATGAGTGTTAACCTTTTTTCTATACAGTTTTATGTGAACATTTTCAAGTGCTGGCATAGAGAGAACGGTATAGTAGTTGTCCACATCTGGCTTCAGCAACAGGTAATCAACTGTGTATTCCTTTGGGGCCTTGAGTTACTCAGGAATGTTGTGCAGGACTGTTGTACACACTCTGGGAAAGGAAGTCTCCCCAAATCCAGTCATTTGTATTTATTATTATTATTAAAACTTAGGGAGACAGTTATAATGTACAAGGTGAGGTAGAAATTACTTTTAATAATATTCCAAGTGAAAGAAGTTCTATAACATTTTACTTTACTTGCCTGTCCCTTATCTGCCCATCTCTCCATCCATCAAAACATTACTTTTTTGATGCATTTCAAAGTAAGTTGTTAATGATTGGGGTAGTTCTCCTGATCTGCCATAGTTGTCATGTCTGATCATGTGTGCTGCACACCCACAGCCTACAGCTTAGTTCCTGGATGAACAGTGGGTTCTCCGTAACTCCTGAGTCCTGCATTCTGACTTGAGTATCCTTTTCTCTGAAGCTGCTCTCATGGAAGGTCACAAATGACTCCTTGGGTGATAAGTCAGCTTTTATCTCACCTGGCATTTGTGACTACTCCACTCCAGACTTTGTCCCCCCTTGTTTTCTTTTCATTTTTTAAATTGTGGGACATCAGACATGTACAAGCCTTGGTGTAGCACATTCCACTGATCTCCTGGCAACACACTGGCCAGGTTTTTCCTTCCTTTCTTTTCGCTTCTGTTTGCTTTGCAATTCCTTCTTCTGCCCCTTAAACATTAGTGCTCTCCTGGCTCTTCCTTGGTCCCCCACTTAACACTGAGCAGTCTTCTCTGAGCCACTGTCCATCTGGTGATGACTTCAGATCTGAGAGTCCAGCTGCGACCATTCTCCTGGACCCCAAACCCCTGTGAACTCGCCAGTCAGTGACTATTTCCACCTAGATGGTTCACTAGTACCTCAGTCAGTGTGCCTAGAATGTAATCATGGCTTCCATGGCACCCCCTAAAATGGGTTTCCAATATTTATGATTGATAACCAATGTCAGGCACTTGGGACAAAACCTAGAAGTGCATGACAGTTCTCTGCACCTCTTAAGGGGTCTCAGACCTCGCAGTCCTGGCATGTCTATCCCTGTAAGGCTGTTGTGGTTTCTTCTTACCATCACTAGGCCACCATCCTGGATCAGGCCTCTGTCTTCTCTTCTGCCTGTGGGTTCATCTCTCCAGCCCATTTTCTGAGCAGGGACCTGTCCAGCATGTTGGATCATGGTCCCCTGCTTAGGGAAGCCTGGCAACAGCACTGTTAGCAGCAGCTAATGTCCTACAACACTAACCAACCTGCAGCTTGCGTGTGCTCACCTACTTGATACCACAGACCCATGGAGTGGGAACCATCATTCCTTTTGTTCACGACTAAAGAACTGCCCAAGGTCACTGAGCTGGAAAGTGTCCTATTTCAGACTGAGCCCGTCTCACTGCAGAGCCCGTGGGTTTACCTTAACCTGCAGAGAGGCCTGAGTTTCTTTATGTGCCCTCTGTGGGGTTGGTGGGCTGGCCCTGTCTGTGCCCTTGCCTCCTTGTGACTGTCCTCCCCTCTCTGCTCTGGTCTCCTGTCACCCCTCTCTTTGTGTCCTGGCTCCCACGGTGACTAAACTTACTAAAACACAACGCACTGTCATACCTGGGCCTGGCCACTGTGTTGCTCTGCCCAGATGGGCCCTTCCCTTTGAGGTGTAGCTCAAGTATTACCAGTTTGAACTCTGTAATTTTTCTATCACTATGGCTGGTACTGTGCTGAATATATAGTAATGCTGAAGAAAGTGTTTGCCCTGAAACATAAATAAGTGAAATTACACAGACTCCAAAATGCAAGTGTCTTATCACTAACCACTCAAATGGAAAATGTGTGTTCATTTCCTGTTTTTGCTACTTTAGAAATATCTTTTTATCAGCTTTGTGTTTTCTCAATTATGTGCTACTTTTGTTTCTCTCTTTATTTATGATAGAGTCCTTAAGTCTAGCATGATATGTGTCCTAAAAAGATGTAGAAAAAAAGGATCAGCTTTATCAGTGTAGTAGTGAATGTTCACATTTTAACAACAGCTGAGAGAAGCAATGCTTTTAAAATGTATCCCCATTAACACAGGCAAGTAAATGAAAGTGAGAAAGCAAGTTGATATTTTAGGAACATTATTATTCAGCTAGACTTTTAAGAATACAGTTTTTCAATTTTTAAATGAAAACTAGATTTCAGTAATAAAATTTTAAAGCAGGAAGCATCTTAAATGTTACTCTGACTTAGTGTCTTAATTTCAAGTATGAAGACGAGTTTGCTTATATAGATCTTAGGAGAAGGAGTTGTTTGTGCTACAAAATTATTAGTTTTTCATCTTTTCTCTCAGTCATAAATATTATCCTTGTTACTATGATTTATTTTAGTGTAGTTTTGGTAATTTTTGAAGTGGTTTCTTGTTCCTGGGCATATAGAATTAAATTGATACAGATACCTTGAAATCAAATAAAAGACATATTTGGCAGAAAACTACCAACCACCCAGTTTTTTCCAGAAGACATTCGAAAGGGAAAACATTTCAAAAGAGTGGCTTATCCTTGGAACATATTAAAGCCATTATCTATAGGTGTCTTATAAATCCTGATGTGACCGCGGCTCTCACAAACCGTTTGAAGACGCTTGTAAGTGGACGTGGTCCTGAGGCTGTGGCAGTTCATCCAGGCACTCCCGGAGCTGAAGTGAAGAGAATGTGTGGCTGGTCCTCGGACCTGCTGGCTGTGTGGCCTCTGTCAGTCATTGTCCTAAGTCATCTGTGACTCTGCCAGCCCCAGGGACTGCTCCTGCTTCCGGCCTTTCAGCTGCTTGCCTGGGCTTTTATTACAACACATTTGTATTTTCTACACAAAATTCCCTCCCTCTTGTTTCAGTTACATTAGTGTATTGGTTTTTATTTTTTAATTTATTTTATTTAGTTTTTTAAATATTAGTATATTTTTATTGAATTCAGAGAGGAAAGGAGATGGAGAGAGAGATAGAAACATCAATGATGAGAGAGAATCAACTCATCGGCTGCCTCCTGCATGCCCCACACTGGGGATCAAGCCCACAACCCAGGCATGTGGCCTGACCCGGAATTGAACCATGACCTACTGGTTCATAGGTTGACAGCCAACCACTGAGCCACACCAGCTGGGTTTAATTGATTTTAGAGAGGGAGGAAGGGAGAGAGAGAAACATCATTGTCAGAGAGAAACATTGATCAGTTGCCTCCCATTACGTACCGGGACCGGGTACCAAATCCAAAACCTGCCCTGACCAGGAATCTAGCCAGTGACCTTTCAGTGCATGGGATGGTGCTCAACCAACTGAGCAATACCGGCCAGGGCTAGTGTATTGGTTTTTAAAATTAGGTATTGAGCCCTGGCCAGGTAGCTTAATTGTTGGTTAGTGTTGTTGTCCCTATATGAGAAAGTTTCGGGTTCAGTCCTCCATCAGGGCACATAGAAGAAACAACCAATGAATGCATAAATAGGTGGAACAACAAATTGATGTGTTTCTCTCTCTCTCTCTCTCTCTCTCTCCAACTTAAATTTTTTTAAGGAATTAAAATTAGGTATTGATTCAATTCTAAAAGTAGTTTAATGCATTTTACTAATACATTTTATTAGTAGTTATGTGATCTAATTTGTAAGATTTGAGAGTTTCTAGTGTGCATCTTGAATGAATAAAAGAAGAAAAGTTTGAACAAACAAAATTTTAAAAGGAAAAAGCATATTGTCCTTTTCTTTCTCATCTCAACCTGGTCTAGCCTCCTATCCCTTTGTCCGACATAGACATACCTATACGCACTCTGGATCCCAGCCCCCTTTCTCCTGTCCCCAAGCGTTTCCCCAGATGGACGCTCCTATCCTTCCTAGTCTGCCTTTAGAGCACTGTTCCTGGCCATGACTGGCTCATCTCCGACCAAATAGAAGTACACCCTGTATGTCTTCGAGCCTTTCCAGTTGATGCAAATCCCATCTTCACAGTCACCTTTCACTTTCTGTCCTTCAGGATGGATTGATATCTAGCCCCTAAAATTTACACGTTTGCTTGTACTCTTCAGAAAGTAGTAGGACTTCTGTGACTGTTAGATGACTCAGTCTGCAGGACTGACCAGGAAGGTGAGAGACAAAAGAGGAGAGGGGGTCACTTCATCTACCAGTAGACTTTAAGTGGATTGTAAATAGATATTTATATGCATATAGATGTACTTTAAAATTATGAAACCACATTACAGAAATGTTGAGGAAAGGCTACTCATAATTTTACCACCAATTAGTAAAATTATTCCTGTTATCATTGCTATTACTTTTGATAATTTATTTTTAGTTTGTTTTACTTTTATACTTTAAACAACTATAATCATGTTTTACATATAATTTATATTTTTTAGTTGTATTATAAGCATTTTTTCATGGCTTTGTTTTTGTAAATGTGGTCTTTAATATAGCTCCAAAACTGAAAGTGTACTTAAACGTCTTTGAATCCTAATTAAGCATCCCATAACGCTGCCCTCCACATCGAAATTGTCAGCGATGTCTGCTACAGAACGTCATCCCACAGGTGCCCTTCTGCCTTTCCATTCCTGCAGGCTCCCCTTCTCCCGTTTCTAGAGCCTTGTGTAATGGCAGGTGTTGTTTCCTGAGAGGGCAGTGTGAAGAGAATTTCACTGTGAGTAAAGTGGCAGAACTTTTAAGCCATTTATTTGGTCCAGAGCTTTCCCGGTGGCAAAAGCTGCTACAGCATCCCTATTCGTAGGGTTGGTGGCACTGACTTACAGAGCTAAAACAAAGCACCATGTCAGTTGGTCTGATGGTTTTGAAGAGTCTTCACAAACATTTCAGTCCTGGAATTCAAGTGCTTTTTTTATTTGAAAACAGCTGAATAACGTTCATCTGCTTTTCACATTTTCCTGTCCAGATATGAGTCACTTCCTGCTTTCAGACCAGATGAGGTTTTGTGTTTTTGTTTTTTGCTTCTTTCCATAAATTCTAATATTATTCAGTTCTGGGACACTTAGGTACACATTGGTGTTCTGTGGCCAAGGAAAATGCTGACTAAATTTTTCTGTATTCATTGATTTTATATATCCTATTGTTTAAAAAAGTTGAAGATCTGGATTAGAATGATGTCATTGTGGGTAAGTTTTTTTAAAATAGTGGTTCTGAAAACATAAAAGCTGTTTATTTGCTGACTGACTGAGGAACTCATACAGGAACAGTGAGTAGTTTGAATGCAAATTAGGAGCTGTACAACCTCTGAATGCAGTGTTTTCTGTGTTTTGCCAGAATGGGAACACATACTCTTATTTTTTGGAGTAATTCCTTCCTATAAGGTGCTTATTTTAAATTTAAAACACTCTAAACCCATGGTTGGCAAACTGCGGCTCAAGAGCCATATGCGGCTCTTTGGCCCCTTGAGTGTGGCTCTTCCACAACATACCACAAAATACCACGTGCGGGCGTGCATGTACAATGCGATTGAAACTTCGTGGCCCATGCACAGAAGTCGGTATTTTGTGGAAGAGCCACACTCAGGGGGCCAAAGAGCCGCATGTGGCTCGCAAGCCGCAGTTTGCCAACCACTGCTCTAAACCAAATGGGTTCTATTATCTTCCAAGATGCATATCAACCCTGATGCAGCTTTACAAAATTAGGGAGGTTTACAAGAGAATAACCAAGCAAGTGAAGGATCGTAATATACCAGAGAACTAGATAGGTGGGTTCTTGTAATCTGAGTACAAGAACCCATCTATGTTGTTCACTGGTATATTGCGAGCCCCTAGAATAGGACCTAGTCCACGGCAGAAACTTCATAAGACATGTTGGTAGGGCAGGGCTTGGCAAATTTTTTTCTGCAAAGATACAGATAATATTTTTGGCTTTCAGAGGCATACGGTAGTTCTCCTGTTGTGGGGTGAAAAGCAGCCATTGATGATATGTAAGCAAACAGTGTGGCTATGTGCCAATAAAACCATTTACACAAACAAGTGGAGGGCAGCTTGCGGTTTTTCAGCCCTTCGCTTAGGACAGTGCTGTCCAGTAGAACTCTGTGACGACTAAATGTTCTCTTCTGTGCTGTACGCTATGGTAGCCACCTAGCCACAGGTAACTATTGACACAATGTGGTCAGTGGAACTGAGGAATTAGACTTTAATTTTATTCAATTGTGATTAATACAAATTTAAAAGGTCATATGTGGTTAGTGGCTACTGTATTGGGTGGTTCGGGGTTAGAACCTCCCCCAATGCATGTTGGACAAAGCAGTTGTTTTCTCTAGGATGTTAGGGGAAGAAAGAGTTTTGTGACCAAAAAAACTGGGGAATTGTTAATAAAAAGATTTATTTGTTGTGGGACTTCTCAGAGCCTTTAATATGCTGATATACATGGACAGTCTATGAGGAATTTTGCAGATTTTTCCTCCAAATTTTTTGACCATGAAGGTTTTCAGGGGTGGCTCTGAACATCTCACAGGACTGGTGTTCCTTGGAGAAGACTTTGGGAAACATTGATGTGGCAGACCAGGAGCATGGGCATCTGTAGGAATTGTAACAGTTACGTTGAGTATTGGACCGTTGGGTTGAAAGGTCTGTAGAAGTCCTCATAGAATGCTGCCATATGTCCTCCAGAAAGAGTAAAAGTAATGGAAGAAGGTGTTCTAATGTATCATTTTATTCTTGAGGATAAAAAAATGCACCCATGTGTGTGAAAAGGGTGGTATGAAGAGGCTGGTGCCTTTAGAACTCTCTAATGGTGGTTTGTCTTTTTTTGTCATTGTCTGTCTGTGCAGCCAGTCTCTGACAATCCTCAATATTCTTTGGAGGTAGCATTAGGAATCTTCACTGTTTCTCCTATAACTGCTGCCCTTTTCACCTCCAGCCTTGCCCTGTCAAAGAAGGATGAGACAAGAAGATCCAATGAGAGGCTTTGGGCAGCTGTGTCTAAAACAGTAATAGTGGAAAACGTTGAGCATTAGTTTTTCAGAAATTGGAACAGATCATAACTAATCTTCAGTTAAAATTAGTTCATACTTGTGTGCATTCGAATAAACTTATGTTCTCTTTTCAAACACTGTTCTCCTTTTCTATGATTTGTATTTATTTTTTTTTTGCCTGTTTTTCTTGCTTTACTTTTAAATTCACCTTCCATTCCTGAGTGTGATAGCTTTTTGCTTCCTCTTAAGTTTCTCATTCCAGGTGGACACACCGCAGAAGATACTGAGCAGCGTTGGGCACTGAAAGCCTTATTTTGAAAATTGCTAAAATATTAAATGCTAAAGTAATATGTACTTCAGGGTTTTATTTCATTTTTATAATTTTGTTTGTTGTTTGTTGTTTTTGTGTGTGTTTTTTTTACTTTTACAGTGAGTGTTGAAAAGATAGACCTGAAGGGATTATCACACAAAAAAAATGAAAGAAATGTTGAATGTTCCTTTGAGGTAAGATGCTAAGTTTTTTTTCCCTTTTCTCCTCTAAGGGATAGGAGGGAACATTTACCATGAATTGATACTTTTATTTATCTAAATAAAAAATAGGCCATTTTGCAAAACACTACTAGTGCTGTGGGAATTGGTAAGCTGGGACTCGGCCTATGGGTGGGCCATCTCCAGGACTGGGCTTGTTGCTTCAGCCTACGGGGCATCACTCCCTGACCTCAGTGGCCTCCATGAGGGGGAGGGGCCGGAGCTCTGGGACAGCCTGGAGTTAACAGTTCAGTTCTATCCCTGTCAGCCACATGGCTGAGGACAGTGCTGAACTTCTGTGTCCTAATACCTCCAGTCAGTAAAGGAGGAAGAGTTTGGGGGAGAATGAAATGAGACAGCCCCTTCAAAGCACTCAGCACAAGATCTGGATATAGTAAAAGCCTGCAAACAAAAGCTCTTCTTCTCTACCCACTAGATGACAAGAGCTTCTTGGTCTACATGGTGAATGCTTTCTACACTGACATGCTCAGCTGCTAGTAGTTGCTTACCTAATGGCTAACGTGGAGAATTGTGAAAATTGAGACATACTGTATATTATGATTAGAGACCCTCCAAGGCAGTGCCAGACACTTCTTACGTTTTGTTGACCCAAACTTAGTTTCTTGGTCCCACTTAGCTATTGAAGAGTCTGGGTAATGAATTGGGTGGCCAAGTCCCTGAGGTTCTGTTACTTGCCCAGCATGTTGTGTGAGGTTCTCCTTTGACCATGTGCCTGAATACTGATTGATAAGGAAAATCTGCTTCCTGCATTATTGGAGAATGTTCTCAGGAATAAAAGCTTCTGTGTAGTATTTAGTATGTATACTATGTGCAGTTTACTAGTTTTTCAAAGAGTATAGCTGCCTGAAAATACTTTAAATACGTTTTTCACTAAAAGGATAAAATTTCATTTGTTTTGGGAGGTACTGCATTGGGAGAATCAGTTGTTAAGCTACCGATGTCTTTTCAAAATGTGTGGAAAAGACGTTAGGTTTTGGAGATTGCTAAAGCTTATGACTAGCACCCAAACTCAGGAGCCAGTAAACCTCGGAATTCCAGCATCATTCAGGCCAGTAGACATCAGGAGCCCAGCAAGTCCCCAGACCCTGGACACGCTATCTCCTCCCTCCACTTGCTGCCTTTTGCTGCTTAGTGTTTCCTGAGGGGCTGTTGGCAATTATTACTTGCCTCCATAGGGACTACTGAGCATAGGGTGGATCTGGGATTGTTGGCCCCACTCACAGGCAATCTGGTCATCTGGGCTTTGAGTTGCCCCTGTCTTCAGTCCTGTTACTTGTGGCAGGGAATTGGGCTTGTGCAGCGTGAGAGGCAGAAATCCTATACCTCACAACTGCCTGCTGCTACTCACTAAAGAAATGAGCTTTGCCAGAATAGACACGTGGCCTCTCACGACCTCTCGGAGGAAGAGGGGATTATAAGCAGGAGAAGGAGGCAGTAGCAGACTGGTGGGGATGGGGACCCATGTCGGAGCCCTCTGAAAGCAAGCTGCACAACTCCACAAGGAGCCTGGAGCCACTGGCCTTCAGGCCAGTCACAGCTCTGAGCTTGCTGCACTAGACTAGGAACTATTGCTTGGAGATGACCCTGATGACTGTCACACAGGCTTAGATGGTTTTACCCCAATGGTCAAGCTGAAGTGTCTGAGAAGCTGACGTTTCCTCAGGTGATAATTGGTAAAAGTATTCTTGTGTTTAGGAAAGTGAAATCCTATCAGTAGTCCAACTAGCTATTCTTTTGAGGTGGGAACTTGAGCCCAAAGGAATTTACAGTCCAGAGTGCATTTGTTGGATGGTATTCAAGGTACAAAGGGAAGATACAATCAACATTTTTAAAAAATTAATCTTATTTACAAAACACACCATTAATTTGTGCAGCTTAAACTGCGTGCTTGTGTGCTGGTGAGTTGTCCTCTACTCTTAAACAAACGACTGCTTTGTAGGATACAGATACGTATTATTCACGTGTAAGAAAAGTGCGACCACCTTACGGCTCTGTTTCACTGAGGTCACTCTAGCTAGCTGTCGTCCGATCCTATATAGCTCTATAGAGAGGGAGAACTGGTGGGCTGCAGGGCGAGAACACAACAACGTATCTTTAAACTTTTTCCCATTTTAATGCCCCCCCCCAAAAAAAATTAAGTCCCTATAGAGTTTTTTCTGTTTTACAAATCAAGTTGATTCTAAAATTTATATGGGAAGAACTATAGAATACTCAAAATGATTTGGAAAAGAAAAAAGTTGGGAGACTCACAGTACCTTGTTTTAAGAGTTACTGTTACACCACAGGAATCCTGACACTGGCGTTGCTGCAAGGGTAGAGGCATTGATCAGAACAGAACAGAGTTCAGAATTAGCCCCAGATGGAAGTGGTCCATTGATTTTTGACAAAGATTCAAAGGCAGTTCAATGAAGAAAGGATTTTTTTCAACAAATGGTTCTAGAACAGATATTCCATACACAAAAAAAATGAACCTTGATCAAATCTCACCTCTTCTACAGAAATTAACTTAAATTTTATTACAGACCTAAATGTGGAACCTAAAACTACAAAAATCTGAGAAAAAAGCATAAGAGAAAGCTTTGTGACTTAAATGAGGCAAAGGTTTTTTTGAATACAATGTCAAAAATATCCATAAAAGACAAAATAAATATATTAGACTTCATCAAAATTTAAAACTTGCTCTTCAAAAGGCACTGCTAAGAAAATGAAAAGACAAGGAAGGCACAGGCTAGGAGAAAATAGTTGCAAATTACATATCTGATAAATAATTTGTATTCAAAATACGTAAAGAACTCTCAAGTTCAATAATAAAACAGTCCAGTAAAACATGAGCCAAAGATTTGAACACACACTTCACCCAGGAAGATTATGGATGGCAAAGAGCATACATGAACGGATGTTCAGCATCATTAGTACTGAGGAAAATACCAATTAAAACCACAGCAAGATAGCCCGGGCAGTGTGGCTCAGCAGTTGAATGATTGAGCATGGACCCAGGAACCAAGAGATCATCTGTTTGATTTCCAGTCAGGGCACTTGCCCTAGTTGTGGGCTGATTCCCAATAGGGGGCATGCAGGAAGCAGCTGATCAGTGATGTTTCTCTCTCATTGATGTTTCTATCTCTCTATCCCTCTCCTTTCTTCTCTTTCTAAAAATCAATAAAAAATATTAAAAAAAAAACAACACAGCAAGATACTAGATGAGTATTAGAATGTCTAAACGTAAAAAGACTGACCATACCAAGTGCTGGCAGGTTTGTGGAAGAACTGGCAGTCTACCACGCTGCAGATGGAAATGTAAAATGGTGTGAGTACTTTGGAAAATAATTTGGCAGTTTTTTAAAAAATTAAACATATTCCTAAAATATGACCCATCAGTTCCATTCCTGAGTACCTATCCAAAGGAAATGAAAGCATATGTTCATACAAAGATTTGTATATGAATATTCATAGCAGCCTTAGTTATAACACCCCACATATCTCTCCACAAGAGAATGGATAAACAAACTATTATATCATTCAGACAGTGGAGCACTACTCAAAAAGAGTAAACTCTTGATGCATTCAGCAATTGGTATGAAACTCAGTTATGCTGTGTGAAAGAAACCAGACCTCCCCCGCAACCAAAAAAAGAGTCCATTTACATAGCATTCTAGAAAATGCAAGCTACAGTGACAGAAAGCAGGTCACTGGCTTCCTAGGAAGGGGCAGTAGGAAACTTTTGGGGGCGAAGGATATGTACATTATATTGATTGGAGTGATGGTTTCATTATGGGTATATACATATGTCGAAGCATCAGATTGTGCCCTTTAAATATATGAAGTTCTGCTCTAGTCAGTTTGCTCATTGGTTAGAGCATTAGCCCGAGAACTGAGGGTTTTGAGTTTGATTCCAGTCAAAGTCACGTACCTCATTTGCAGGCTCTATCCCAGCCCCTGTTGGGGCATGTGCAAGAGGCAACCAATCAATGTCTCTCTTTCACATCCATGTTTCTCTCTGTCTCTTCCTCTCCTGTCAACTCTTTCTGAAAAATCAATGGAAAAAATATCCTCAGGTGAGGATTAACAAAAATAAAAATAAAATATGATTATTAAAAAATAAATAAGTGCAGTTCATTGTCAGTTATAAATTAATAAAACTTTAAAAAAAATAGATGCCTAAGATTAAACCTTTTCTTTTGTCCACAGAACACTAAGGAAGATTAAATAGTCCTTAACATAGGTTATCCTTTGTATATGGAAATAAATAGCTATTATACTGTGATCAGAACAATTAAAAAAAAACCTTATTAAGAGTGTCTGCCATACCTCAATGAGATTCAACAGTCTGTTTCTAACAGTATAGAAAGACTCAATGAAATATTTTTTTCCTGAAAACCTTCACTTATTCAGGGAGAAATCAATGATTCTCTGCCCCACCAATTTTCTCAGCCTTGTTTATCTCTAGTTTTGATTTTTATGTATCATTGTTTTCCAGGATACAAATTAAAGATTACTTTTTTATCGGAAGACATAATCCTGGATCAAGATGGTTTCAAGATACACAAATCTACTACAAACAGGAGTTTGAGTTTCCTCTTCTTTTCCATGTAGATGGATGGTTTTGTTTTTGCTGAAATTGTAATTGCTGGTTATGAGGAAACCAAGTCAGTATACAGGAAGCAAGTGAGAATAAAATTAGTATTTAACTTTGTACATGTGAAATGCCCAAATTTAACCAGCTTTTTCAAATTCATTTTGAGGAATTAGAATAACTAAAACTAAAAAAAGTTTTTTTAGTTATTACACATGAAGGAAAGGGAGGGAAAAACATCAAAAGACTACACAAACCCTTGAAATACCTGTTAGATTATAGAGCTTTATTGACTTAAAAAGAACTATAGAGCCCTGGCCCGTGTGGTTCAGTTGGTTGGGTGTCATCCTGTGCACCAGGAGGTCGCCGGTTTGATTCTGGT